TACTTCGTCTTTTGCCACTATTCGATGGTAGTGTGTAAGAGCTGTGCTTTATATGAAATTTCATTAATGCTTTCTCAGCTTTGAGATGAGCGCAAATTTGACCGAAATAAAAATTCTCATGGATTTCCACACAATAAACTCAAATGTAATTCCAGGAAGTTCTGCGTTTTCAATTCAAAATTTAAGAAAGCCTCCTCAAGCAAGAGCTGCCCCAAACCTCAACGATTTGAGTAAGATTTGGGTAAACGCATGAAAACGATGGAGATCGTAGTTCTAGACTGGCTGGTTTTGATTAATCAACTTACAAATTAATTCTGATTGGTTAACTTTGCTCATAGCTTCATCAGCTTTTGCCTAACCAATTAAAAGCAATATATCTGCTGTTATACCTCCTCCTCCTCTGCAACAGGTATGCCTCGCTTTATCCGCACTGGTTTAGTTCGTACGCACAGTAACTCGTCCAACCGGTACGTGATTGAATGCCTCTCCGATGAGCTTGAATAGACTTTTTGAGGAAATTAAAAAAACAATAGCTCCATTTTTTCTCATGCTCTTATTCACCGGACGCTTACCACCCCGCTAACTAACGAAAATCACTTTGTGCTCATGGTATCAGGAGCATTTTGGTGGTCACCGGAGGCAAACACAACAACTATTACGCTACCCCTCCTTTCAGTTCTGGGTGGTGAGAGTCCGGGAGCTCCACGACGAGTGGAAGAACACTGGCCTTCTGTGAAATTGCGAATAGCAGCAGATAGAGTCCACAGATGGCTGTCTAATGATGTAGTTATAAGACTTGACCACTACAACGATACTTGCCCAAACAAATTCCAGCAAACTATGCACACTCTTGCGGTGACATAACTCTAGAAACGCAACACGTGCATCCGCAACTGCACAAAACGCCACCTTTCTAAAGGCGAGAACTTCTCTAAGTTCTAGTTTCAAAAAAGCAGCATTTGAAAAATTAGCTTACTCTAATAGCTCAAATGCGAACACGTTGATGTCTCGATAGAAGACGATTCGATGATTTTTGCCATGAGGTGAGGTAACATCTGCCAGCAATGTCCCCTCCACTCCAGGAATTTGACTGCGTGATGAAACTGGCACATCACACGTTACACTGTCTCCTAAATTAGGTAACATTTTACAGCAATCGCCATTATTGCTTATCAGAAACTGCAACTGAGTGCACAATAACATTTGATATTGTCTAGTGGATTTTAGATTTACCTAAGGTGTAGTCTGCCGACAAATGTGTTGTTACTAGTTTCAAATCGAAAATTCTTCCTTACTCATAATCACATTTTTGTGAAAGAACTCTCATCTTGCCATTTTCCCCCTTATGCTACTTCTTTGTGCATGTTCAATGGTTATCTCGATTTACACTTTCTTAGGGCGTGGTATTAATCAGTGAAAAAAATAGTACAAAGGCCCTACGTTCGACTTTGATTTGGATTCCACATTCCAGTTTCTAGAATCGAGAGAGAAGCAAAACTACCTAGCAATGAGCTGATTTCATCATTGTGAAAGGAGTTACAGCAAATATGAGCCTACTTATGTTGCAAAGATAACATCTAATTATGTACCTAAGCTTCTATAAATAACATATCCTAGCATAAAATTTGTGGAAAATGATAGCTATGTAGTGTTGTCGTGTTTAAGAGGAAAGCAAGAACGGCTTCCCTTAAGCAACTAAAAGGTCGAAGGTAACCAAAAATCATTATGGATAGTAGGCCTCCTTGCAGCTTTGCAAACATTTTCTTGAAATAATTTAGCACAGAAGATTGGCTTACAAAATGGAATATAAAATTGATATTACATTATGCAAGTAAAGCTGGGAACTCCTATGAGAACATATTTGCCAGTTTTCAAAATAGGACAAAATTTATGATTGGAAAACACACCTAATACATTTGTACATACATTTTTAATGGTCATAGTCATTCTTCAAACATATAAGATGAAAGAAGCGTGACCATGTGTATTTGCTGATCACTGGTAGAGGTTATTTCTTTTGAATTACAATTCAGACGAATGATACTGACGCATTATCAAGCATCGGATGAAAGAAGTTCAAAAGGCATTCGTTTCCCTACGTTGTCAAAATTTTGGGATATTTAAGGTCCATTAGATCGCATTTGGATATGCGATTTGATAAGGAGGAACTGTTAGCAAGTTGCTGCATGTAATCTGAGACACGCCACGCCAGGAGACAGTTCCATAAAGGCTGCATCTTGCTCTTCGGAATATTCTTTAAAAAAATGATTAATATAAAAAATCTGAAAGCAGCACATGCTTCGATGGGCGAATTAACAGCAGCATTTAATCATTTAATGTTGCTTCTGCATTTATTAAAGCAGAAAATACAGTTTGAGAAATGTTCTTTGCTAAGGTCACTAGAAAAATAACGCAGGAGTTGCCTATGGTTCCCACGTCATCGGTCAGAGGATACTGACAAAACAATTTGGAACAAATTGTACAGTTCTGTTTATCCTCCGCCAAAAGTTGAGCTTAGGTCACAGGGATACATGAATGAATGCTTTGACGAAGCAAAGGAGCACAAAAACAGGCGACTTGAAGTAAACAGGAAATTTTTTGTAATATTCGTAACTTCGAAGAAGCGAGCGGACGAGCTATTAATAGCGTGTCAATGCAACAATATGTAACAACTGGCGACCGATTGCGGTTTTTTGAAAAAAAAATTCTTGACAAATATTAAGTTCATTCAGTACTGAAAATTATTAGAAATGTCTGACCAACATTATATTCAATATCAACATGCGCTGAATCATCTTGCTTATATATATATACATATACATATATATAATTTATATATATATATATATATATATATATATATATGTAATTTTTCTATAGTACAGGAGGATGAATTTGAAAAGAGAACAGCTTAAAATCTTTATGGGTAATTGATTTACACATAACAAACCTACTTCTATTTTATATTTCCTTTAAGCAGTACTTAATTCTAAAGGGTCAAAGTTCAGAGCCTATCTGTCACAACCCGTATCAATAAAAACAATAACTTTTTGAACGAATAATATCAAGTAAGTAAGATTTCGATACTCAAATCGTGTCTGCTCTACTACTAATATGGGTAAATTCGAAAAACAATTTATGTGAAAGAAAAGCATAGGTAAGAATTAGTGGGAATTTCTACAAAACGTTTACAATGTCACTTCCTTTCTAAAAATTTACTCTGCAATGGATGATTGTTATTTTAATACGAAACCTCATTATGAAGCGCAAAATGTTTTCCATACAGTCAAAATCAACTATTCATTTTCTGACATCGACAAAGGCTTATTGCTATAGGGTTTTAGAAACGAGCGGAAAGATTCTGTGCGCCTATCAGAGAATATAAGATCGATAAAAGAAACATATTTAGCATGACTGACTCTGGGATGCGGTTTCTTTAGAGCATCAGAAGTTCTCCTTTTTATTACGCGTCTCCTGGGATCTCATTAATACCTATTTTGCACTAGAATTCAACAATTCCGTTTTCCTGATAGCATTGGAATCAAAATTATAACTCTAGTTGCTGCAATTCTCTTGAAAGAAAAAAACCGAATCTTTTCCGCACATGAGTAATGTTAATAATCCAGCCGGTTACATAACAGTTTAGTTGTGGCAAGCTTCTCTAGCATAAGTAAGAACATTCCAGAAATGCAAAACAAAAGCGTACAGGGGATATAAATTTGATTTAAATCTCGAAATTCCTGGCCTTTTTGAAATTTGAAATACGAAAAGGTTCAAGATGCGAACGAATAACAGGAAAAATTACGGACTTCAAAGATACCTTGGACACAATCGGATGGCATGAGTATTGATGTGCTAGCATCACCTCCACCGCTAACCATGTTTAATTCGACCTAAATGAATTGAGGCATTGCGGTGATAACCGTAAAAATCAAGGAGAGATGCGACGGAAACAATAAAGGAGAACTAAAGCATACAGATCAATTTACATCTAACAAGAAGAAGTTAAAAGGATGAGCTGGCTGTTTTTAATTGGTGTATCGACAAGATAGGAATCCAATTTCATAAGCTTTGTGATACTGGACACAAATGTTCCAAATAAAGGTTACTTTGAACATTCTGTGACTTCTCAATCTACTACCTGCAGTAGCTGATTACTCATGAAGTCAGCGTAACCGAAATTTGGCTCATCAAAGAAAAAGCATGATGTGAAATGAACATTTCGTAAAAGAGTTGTAGTTGATTGTAGCAAACCTTATGTCATAGGTGATAACTGATAAAGCGAAATAATTCAGAGGTGAAGGTGCTAATGTTTGCTGGAAGAGTTATGAATGTATTCAATGCGCTGTTGTGTGGCATGTAAAGACTAGTGTTATAGCTGGTTTGAAACGAACTGTTCGCAATGGACTGGTTTGCAGAAATCACACGAATGCTCTCGACATTCTCAACATAAGAACATTTTAGTGTAGCGAAGGACAAAAACTGTCATGGAACGAGCCAGTCATACGAATTGCAAGAGAATGATGAATTGATAGAGCAATATAACGAATGTTACTGGCAAGGTAGCTTTTCTAATCACAAGCTCTATCAG